GTTCGAATAAACGAATTTTATAGCTGTTTGCAAAAATTTTTCAATTCACTTAAAAAGTTCTCAAGACATAGCGAAATGCACAAAAAGTGAAGTTTACAATAAGTGGTTCGAACTTTTGAGCACTTTCCTGACTAAGCTATGGGGACCATATTTCCCAGATTTCGACTACCCCCTATGTTTTGGGGCTCAGAAATCTGAATCTGTCGAAAGAAAGGTATGTTTATTCAGAGGATGTACGTTTTTCAGCGTGATTTCGTAACTTAAAATATCGTCTGCGCTAACTAATTAGCATATTTGAGGTCATCTCCTCGAACAAATAAGATTGAGTCCTAGAACGTGAAAATCCGATTATTAGATCAAAAGTTATTTAGAGTGTCTAAATATCAACTGATGACCTAAAATTTTGCATACGTTGATATTTCGCAAAAAAAGCATAGGAAGTATGCACCATATAATTTTTAAAATAATTTTCTTCTCTTTCACTTATGCAGTGGTCTATTAGTAAGTAAAACCATTTTACTTTATGTTCTTTTAAGATGTTGAATGTCTATTTTTCAAATTTTTAAATGATTTTCTATGAACTTATTTATTATTTAAAAATTATTTCACCATGGAATATAGCTGAAAGATTCGAACATGTCTCTTTTGAAATTATTAAAATATAAAAATTATTTTTTATAGCTCTTGTGAATGGTCAAGGAGTTTCAAATTGTTAGAAATAATAGGCAGTTCTTTCTATATTTCATAAAAACATTTTTAAATTCACTTTTTTTAAACATAGTTTCCTCACTAAAACGTATAGCTTATTTTACAAATACAACTATAGATAAAGTATGCCATATTCTGTTCATTTGCTATCATTATGGGCTGCATATTTGTACCATATTTCAGATCCATATAATATCAAAAGCCTTAAAGCTTGTTTTTTTAACGTTTGAATACTGCTTCATTGTTGGGATGTAGCTTGTGGTCTCTACAATTCATTCTCTTAATCAATTATACTAGTGCAAGAATAAATCATCATACAGAAAACATCGCATCTCAAACATCAAGCATGAATTATTATGAACAAAACTCCAGAACTTTCAGACAGAAAAATTATAACAAAATTTAGAAAATAGAAAACCATTTTCTTAAATTGTTCGTAGTTTAAATGTTTGATATTTGATTTCAAATAAGAGCAAATAAAAAATGTTTACGTATTTTCTAAGAAATGCCTCAAGCTATATACTAAGGAACGCCATTTAAAAATAAGAAAATAACAAAATTTCATTCGAATATGCTTATATTTCAATCAAATTGACGTATGCACCCATAATTCACTAAAATCTAACCTTTTTTTAAAACTGAAAACCAGAAAATTTTCTTAAAAATTTTCCAGACGTAACATTGACCAAAAATAATTAATATCCACTTTTTTACGAAACCGAATTACCTAAAAAATCTGTTTTATCGTTTATATTTGTGAGTAACTTCTGTCAAATTTTGGTATAAAAGCCTTATTTTTGAATTTACTGCGCTTAAGATTTAAGTTAAGATAATACAGTAATGCCCGTCAGCTTGCAGCTCTATTAGGTTAAAACTATTTATTTTTCTTTTTTGCTAAAAGTGAAAGACTTATTATACCAATATTTATACCAATTATGATTATTATTAGATGATTATTATACCAATATTTATTACTATTTTAGTTAATACAATGTGTCAATGCATAATACACTATATTTCTTCCCGCTTTTTGTTAGGTAATGTTTTTTTTTCTTTTTTTTTTCTAATGCCCGCCTGTGTTAACATCCGTCAATTCAGGCATTTACAGGGCGATTTCGTAGGCTTCTCTTACAGGGGCACCATATTAGGTGGGCCAACGTCGCTCCCACAGTAAGGACAGACAGTACAGAGAATTAAGGAACATCCATGCCTTTCCCGGGATTCGAACCCAGAACCTTTCTGAGGCAAGGACTGCTCACTGCCCCCTACACAGGCCGGTCAGCTTGTTAGATAATGTTATATAATTATATTATCTAATATTATTATAATATCTCTCAGGCCTTTTGATTTCAAAAATTTAAATACGAAACTCTTTGATCCATATTGTTTTTCTGTTACTTTTTTAGAATAAACCATACTACCACACCAAATTCATTTTTTGTAACATGTCAAAGTGTCTAGTTTTATTAAATCTTGTATTCAAGTTTGATGCCATTCATATAAGAATAGAAATGGCTGTACTTGAGAAGTTTCTCCGAAAAAGCGGAAATAAAAAGTGCAATTCTTCATTTCCACTTCCAATATCTTTAAGAAGCTTATCGATTTCTATAACTGAAAGTCAATACACTTAAGCTCCCCGTCTTGATATTGTCTTTCATAAACCTCTTAAACGTTTGAAAACTCTTACCAGTATTGAAGCTCGGTTCAATGGTGCAACTGCACGTACTTGGAAATATATTTTATAACAATGTTTTTTTTAAAAAAAACACATTTACACTCTTTTTAACATTTTATATATATTTTGTTAATAAATAATGAAGCGAAAATAATGCGACAATTTAAATATATCCTCAAAATATTAGTTCAAGGGTGAACCATAAAATCATTATTTTTAATCATAATATCGTATAAACTTTCTGTAACTATAATTAAGTATTAAATTGGACCATTTATCTATGTAAATTCAGTCACAGTATTATATAATCATATTTGATATGTTTTAATTGGCGCGATTATAAGATTCAAATTGAACCTAATAATTAGAGTTTCAGAGAGTTTGCTCAATATTATTTTTCAATGCACTCAATAACATCTAACAGTGTACAATTAATTAACTTCACACTTCACATCTTGTTTATATATATATATATAAACAAGATGTGAAGTGTGAAGTTAATTAATTGTACACTGTTAGATGTTATTGAGTGCATTGAAAAATAATATTGAGCAAACTCTCTGAAACTCTAATTATTAGGTTCAATTTGAATCTTATAATCGCGCCAATTAAAACATATCAAACATGATTATATAATACTGTGACTGAATTTACATAGATAAATGGTCCAATTTAATACTTAATTATAGTTACAGAAAGTTTATACGATATTATGATTAAAAATAAT